GTTGTATGTGACAAAGAGTAGGGTCGCCTGTCCAACCTCGTGGGTTTTCTCCGGGTCCTCTGGTTTTCTCCCACTGCTAAAGACCCCTACGCGCAAGCGAATTATTGAAATAAAATTGAAACATAGGTTAGTCCCGAAATGACCTAGTTTGTGTCGAGTGGACGTTAAACTTCATTCTCTCTCTCTCCCTCTCTCTCTCTCAGACAAGATGTCTTATTTTATTATGCTTAGCGCACTTGCATGGACCTTTCCTCCTCTCTCTCTCCCTCTCTCTCTCTCTCCTATTGTTCACTTGTGAAGAATACGTTTCATGGCGTGCTGAACATATTAGTTTGATAATGATGGGTATTGATAATTGTTAATAGACGATATAATTAAATATTGGGATGGTTAGACAATAAGTCACGCTATCATTAATTATTAACCCCCTTTTCTCCTTTTAGCTTAACTTCTGTTAAAAATCATTATTTCAAAGTCAAAGTCATTATAACGTCGAGTTTATTTTTTCTCTCTCTTTCTAATTTCTCGGGGATCACGTGGCTAAGTGGGTAAGACGCTAGCTCGCTAGCCTGGAGGTCGAGTGTTCGATCCCTGCATTGGCCGAGAAAGTTCATCCAGATTTTCCGGCGTGGTTCTCCCTTGTCAGTGATGCAGGACGGAGGGGCTGACAAGGAAAGCTGTCTAGTCGTTCGGATGGGACGAAAAACCGAGGTCCCGTGTACACATTGGCGTGCACGTAAAAGATCCCTTGCAGTTGGAATTCGATATAAGAGTAGGCCGTAGTGCCGCTGTCCGGGCAAAATTTCCCTCATAGCACACTGTATGGCGTATGCCCGTCTTCATTAGCCCAGGTTAGGAGCAGAACAGTAGGACGTTAAACCCCATTTCATTTCATTTCTAATTTCTCTTATTTAACTGTTTTCTTATAAGTTAAACTTTATTGATGCATTTTGGGAGAGAGAGACCGATGGGGTTTAGATGAATGAATGATTGAAATGGAGTTTTATGGCTCGTCAGCTCCAACTGGGCTATTTTGTGTTTTATATAAAATGAAATGGGCTTTAACGTCCTAATGTTCTGCTCCGAGCTGGGCCCGGACAGCGGCAATACGGCCTACTCTTATATCGAATTCCAACTGTCAAGGGATCTTTTACGTGCACGCCAATGTGTACACGAGACCTCGGTTTTTCGTCCTATACGAATGACTAGACAGCTGTCCTTGTCAGGCCCTCCGTCCTGCATCACTGACAAGGGGAAACTACGCCGGAAAATCTGGATGAACTTTCTCGGCTAGCGAGCCAGCGTCTTACCCACTTAGCCACCGTGGCCCCCGTGTTTTATTTTAAGATACATTATTGGAGATTCGATAACGAGTTGGCAGTTCCCACTATAATAATTAAAAACTAGATAATGTAAAGGCAATTTGCTGAAAATGTCATTCAAATTGATCCACTATGAACCGAGAACTAAGCGATTGAAAGTCAGTACGATAAACAGTATAGTCTCGATTATCCATTTAATCGTTAAATTGTGAAGGAAAGTTATGCAGTAAATCGGCTCATAATCCACAAAAGATCGCAGAATAGCGCTGCCATCTAGAGTTAATTATGGTCTGGATAAGTTAATTAATGTCTAATTAATAATTTAGATAACATTTCAGGCCTAAAGAAAGACCTCAATAGACAGATTTAGCTATTGCATAATGTATGTTTATTAAGCTCTTCGGGTAAACAACAATAATTTTTGTCACATCCGAACAACTGCCTGGTTAGTTAGCAAGCCCCTTACACGCTGAGCCACCGTGGCTCCCGGGGAGTGGAATAAAAAGTTATTTTTATAATAATCTTTAGTTAATTTACCATGATGTTTGAGGATTATATTATCGAAGTTCTAATAAATCTTTCTTAGAATAGAATCAATTAGATAACACAATAAATAAAATTATTTGATGCTAATGAGCTGATTATATTGTCTAGGGTTAATTACCAATCTGGTTAAAACACAGATCCTATTTCGTTTCGTTTTTATAGTTCGAAATTTTGTTTTACTTGTCTCTACTACACTTGGATCTGGAAGACTTGTTATTTAACTCGTGTTCTGCTTGAAATGAGGGGTCAGCCAATCAAATGGTCTGTCGAATCGAGTGTTTGACCTTTTTTGCCCGGAACTGTGGGTAATCCACTAGTAACATCAATGCTGATTGGTTAATCAAATGTCTGACGTCATAGGTCAAAAGTCGGTCTTTTGACCCCTGACGTGACCTATCGCTATAACTTGTCAGATCTTCATGTAGTGTAGGCCATCGAAAGTATAAAAAAACGAAACGAAATATAGATCTGTATTTTAATCAGATTGGGTTAATTACATATATATATATATATGTATATATATATATATAGTAAATAAAATAATTTGAAACTAAGGCGGATTAGATAAATATTTTAGTTAATTTATTAGCTAAGTATCCTTAGATACGGGGGTTATTAATTTACCACGGAAAGCATAATATATATGATGTAGATTGTATCAATTTAATAAGTCGTTGTTAAATACCCTGAAGCTATTTGTATCGTATTCTGATTAGAGGAATAAGCTGATTATATTATTCATTAGCTGATTTACAATGGAAAATATGAATGAGGCATACATGGGATCTCTCAGAAAACTAGGATATCTCTCAGAAAATTAGGATATCTCTCAGAAAACTAGGATATCTCACAGATATCTCCCAGAAAACTAGGATATATCTCGAAAAACTAGGATATCTCTCATAAAACTAAGATATTATATCTCAGAAAAATATAGGATATCTCTGAGATATCTCCCAGAAAATTAGGATATCTCACAAAAAACTGGGATATCTCTCAGAAAACTAGGATATCTTGAAGTTTTAACAACTATCAAAAATAGGAAAAATAATTCATAGATTTCCCAGTTTTGAGATAATTTCTCGTTTTAGATAAACATCACATGAGGTCAACCCAATTCCATAATTTAATTTGTCCCAAAGCAAAGGAATGTAGCCTCTTTAGGTTATCGGTCAGTTTTAATTCAAATTACGTATCATGGAAGTAGTATCAGATGTTCTAGAAAAATTGAGTATATCTTACCTCGTGTACTACACCCATCTTTACCTATAGCTAGGAGAGAAAATTTATCAGGTTTTCTAGATACATCAAGCATACCTTTTATCGTGTACTACACCCATCATTACCTATACTAAGTGAGGAGAGGTATCAAGTGTTCTAGAGAGAAGCATATCCTGCCCCGTGTACTACACTCACCATTACCTATATTGCTATATATTATTCTTTCGTAAATATGAATATGCCAGTGCTGTTGTTCGGATGGAACGAAAACCGTGTACGTACTAGCATCTGGTTATTCCAGTCTACACCAATAGTATTTACTACGCATGCTCTCCAGATAAGAATATGACTTCACTGTTTGACATGTCTTGCCCCGTTCTCCGAGCCTCTTGATACAAATGCCGCTGAAACGCTTTATGATACACGATTCGTGTACCAATGGTAAAATGTTTATTTTGCCTGAAATATTGGATATCAAAAGCCCATCTTTTCTCGGTAAGATCACAACATCAATGTTGATTTAAATTGACAAATAATTCGTGTTTTTAATGTCGAAGACTTGAGATGATATTGAGTTAGAGACTTAGCTACTTTAAATGTGACGGAACGTTAGTAGAAACATATCATATTCCTAAGACCCCCCCCCCTTATTTTAAGTATTACGCACGTGTCGTAATTTTTATCGCATGATTAATTATCGGCAATATTTCATTTAGTCTCGAGACCACCCGATACAAAAAAAAAACTATTATAAAAATGAAATAAAGTGTAAAAATTCCATATCGAATATTTTGCTTGGTATTTGAGTGAGGACTGTGTGGGATCGCTTATTGTTAATGAAGTGTATAATAACGTACTCTGGCGCTTCTGGTCAGTGGGTTCTATAATTGTATATCAGCACAGTAGATGGTTCTTTTAACACTGGTTGCCGGTCGACGTGGGTTCTATAATTGTATATCAGCACAGTAGATGGTTCTTTTAACACTGGTTGCCGGTCGACGTCTTCTAAATGAAATGAGGTTTAACGTCCTACTTTTCTGCTCCAACTGGGCTAATACAGTGTTCGATGTGGGAAATATTTGCCCGGACAGCGGCACTACGGCTTACTCTTATTCCGAATTCCAACTGTCAATGTGTACACGGGCCTTCGGTTTTTTGTCCCAGCCGAACGACTAGACAGCTGTCCTTGTCAGATCCCCCTGTCATTCACCAGAAAATTCCGAGAAACTTTCTCACCAACACTGGGAGCGAGCCAGAAACCTCCAGGTTAGCGAGCCAGCGTCTTCCTCACTGAGAGGGTGGGGTTGGAGGTATTCGGGTTGGATGGCTAAATGGTTAGCGTGTGTGCCCGCTGTATCATAAAGTCTGTCATTGAGTCAACTGGCGTTTTCGATTCCCCCGTTGTACGTGACAAGGAATAGGGTCGCCTGTCCAACCTCGTGAGTTTTATCCGGGTCCTCCGGTTTCCTCCCACTGCTAAAGACCCCTACGCGCAAGCGTAGTATTGAAATAAAATTAAACCATATAGTCCCGAAATGACCTGGTGTGTGTCGAATTGACTTAAAACCATCTCTCTCTATCTCTCCTCGGGGCGATCTGACCTTCTCTGTTATCAATAAAAAACCCCAGCAATCTTTGCGAATTGTCTATCCTGATATACGGATGAAAGAGAGTAATAACTTACTGTAAATATACAGGTCTGTATACTGTTTATTCTGATCTACGTACGATCGTGATGGACCAAGCATGATCTACCGACGGGTTCTGAATGGACTGGAAGTAGCGTGAAGAAGCAGACGAATGAAAATTGATTGGTTGAAATCGATGAGTGAGCGCGGGAAGAATGGTACTCAATCTCGCGCGCGTTATTACCGCGTGTTACACCTGTATTTAGCCGTCTGCTGTTAAAGAAGATAGTTGTGTGTGACGGAAAGCCAAACATCAATAATATTATATATATATACATGTCAAATGAGATTTTAAGATTTAATCCGACCGTTACTCGTCGATAACCGACATTTATTTTTTCATTGGACGACAAAAGCACGAGACAAGCAGACGACAGAATTATTTGCAACGGACTTGGAACAGAATCAAAGTATATAAAAGTTTTAGCGTCACGAGAAGCAGTCGATTTTACTAATAAGAAAGGGATCAAAGAGGATCGGACCAGTCTAAACTCGATGTCTTTTACACCATTTGCCTTGATTTAGAAGTTGAATTAGCCAGTCATCGAAGAGACCGAGGTTGTTATAGCGACGGCGGGAAGTGGGTCAGGTTCAAGTGTCTTTAATTACTTGTAAAGAATTATTTGGCTTTGATTAATTTACTTGTTGGAGTAAAGTGTTTTATTGTTGTTGTGATGTTATTAATCAGGGTGATCGTGTTATTCTTGGAGTATAATAATCTCGTTAGGCCTTCATTCTATGATCACTGATTCGGCCATTGTCGCTTTAACTCGACCAGCTTCATATCATGATTGTTTATCATTTTCCCGCGTAATCACAAAATATTTCAAAAATCTCGGATTCGGTGGAACTGTGCGAGCCCCGGGAAGAGGAGCTCGTGCAGGAAGCTATGACAACGGCAGAAGATGATGGAATAGAAATTCTCTCTTGTCACATAGAGCACGAGGAATTGGTGGTCGTGGAACCAGCGACCACTGTTAATATTTCTGTTACCAAGTCCAAACTCGAAGATGACCCGGCCACGAGACATAGGAAGCGCGTGGCACGTGCCGTGGCCATTGTGTCATTCATGTTATTGTTATTTAGTGTCGTGTTAATAGGAGTGTCTCTTAATATGTCAAAAAACATCGATGAATTAGGTGAGTAAATTATTTACTTATATTCAAAAATAATCTTAACATTTCGTTTCTGTAATTTCGTCCCTAATCAATTTATTACATTTAAATTCCAGATTTCGTTTCAGTAATGTCATCCCTGATCACTTTTTGAATTTAAATTCCAGGTGTGTTGCGTTTCGTTTAAGCGCATAACATGACGTCCATAAAACTTAAACACAGATGCAGTGCATCAAATCAAAACTGATATCTGCAAATTCACTTAAAACAACACGCTACCTGTTGCTATACAAAAACACACACAATTTAAAAGCCGTCTAGACGTTCTAGGTGGAGCCGTGAATATAATCTTAATGAATTGATGATAAGTTTAGAATAATTCTATTAATGCGATCTTCATCCACACAGTTGACTTACTACAAAGAACACTTCGACATGTAATCACTTCCCGTAATTAAATGTCATCAGATACGAAACCTTGGCTGTAGAACTCAAAGCATACTATCATCTATGAAATACATGATACACCCTTCAAGTACACTCAACTCAATCAATTTTAAAATTATTTTTACTTGTTGAAACCTCGATTTAAAAAGGACATACCATCTCCTTCAAGCGATACTCGGATACGAAACTGTGATTACAGAATGGTATTACAATTTCAGTACAAAATGCAACCACCAAAAATATCTGAATTGTACACGTAAGATCTGTTTAAGATTTATACATGATAAACTCTTCAAGTACACTCAACTAAAGCAATTTTAAAATTAGTTTTACTTATTGAAACCTCGATTTAAAAAAAGACATACCACCCCCTTAAAACGATACTTAGATACGAAAAAACTTTGATTACAGAATGGTAATACAATTTCAGTACAAGATGTAATCACCAAAAATATCTGAATTGTACACGTAAGATCTATTTAAGATTCATACATGATATACTCTTCACGTACACTCAAGTCAATCAATTTTAAAATTAGTTTAACTTATTGAAACCTCGATTTAAAAAACCGCGCCACCTTAAAAGGATACTTAGATACGAAACTGTGATTACAGAATGGTAATACAACTTCAGTACAAGATGTAATCACCAAAAATACCTGAATTGTACACGTAAGGCCTTTTTAAGATGTCTTAACAGTTGGCCCCTGGTTGTCTTAAATCCGGACCATGATATTAAGAAACAAAAATGGAAGTTATCTTAAATCGTCTCAATCTGTTTAAAACACAGATCATATTTCGTTTCATTTTTTATAGTTCAAAATTTCGTTTTACTTGTCTGTACTAAGTATGTAGTGTAAACCATCGAAAGTATAAAAAACGAAACGAAATATAGATCTGTAGTTTAATCAGATTGAAATCGTCTCTGAGCTTGAAATCCGAATAACTGTGCCGATCACGGGGTCTTTTCGGGGCCCCCGACGACTTTGCCATGAAGTTTCTGTCCCATCAATTGGCGATGGTCGGCGACCTGCCTACCACGGTGTTGACGGAGGGAGCCTGCGAAACGATGTGGAATACCCCCCCCCACCAAAAAAAAGATACGAAACAATGAGATAACATAAACGAATCGGTCCTATAATAAGTATACGCATTGTACTTCTAACATAATTATCTATACAGGAATTTTAATTTAATATTTCAAGAGATGCATTTAAAATGTGGAACTATTCTTAGATACAAAATACGAAAGTATTTTTAAAAACAAAATCCGATTGCACTGACGTTACAGTCATCGTATACAGTTTAATAAGAATTTTATAGACGGTAATAATTTGGATCTGGGTAGATCGAAACTTCAAACAAATTGAACCGAAGAGATGCATTTAAAATGAGGAATGATTCCTAGATATGCTATTTAAAGTGAATGAGTTATTACTAGATGTGAATTTGATATAAGAATGATTTCTAAATATGCTGTTTAAAGTGAATTTGATAGAAGAATGTTTCCTAGACGTGCTGTTGAAAGTAAAATTAACCAATACAACAATGTTTCCTAGATGTGCAGTTTAAAAGTGAATTTGATACAAGAATGGTTTATATCTGGGTAGATTAAAATTTTAAAAAACTCCAATGGGAATCAATATTAATTTGTAGTCTATAGAAATATCGATTAATATTGCTTAGTGATTAAAATCATCAAGTAATATCTGATAAATAAATTAAATTCTACCGTTTCCGCCTCATCGATTACAAATATATACAATTGTTTACGATTTCTAAAGATAACTCTTAATCTATATGCTACATATTGAAGTATGGCAACAGTTAACTCATACACGTTGGACTCTTGAATATTTCAGATGTTTCAGAAAATATTCCTCAAGCTAATTCTACGTTCCAGGAAGCATAACAACAGTTAAAGATACATTGTATAAGATTTGAATAAAGAGCGGACCGTTCTTGCTATAAAAGTTCAAGAATAAATAATGAAAATGAATATTGGAAATTTCATTCAAATTACTTATTTTATTCTTCGTGGCGTTATGGTAGACTGTTTATTATCGCAGCAACGGTACTTGACAACCGAGGTCAAGTCTCGATTATCTATTTTATCGTAGAATTTTAAAATCTTGCGGGTGTTCTAATCCATATAAATCTCTGCCGTCCGATGATCTAGATAGTTGATTATGGGCCTGGCATGTGAATACATATTTAAATAAATGAAATGAAATGGGTTTTAACGTCCTACTGTTCTGCTCCGACTGTTCTAATGAAGACGGGCATACGCCATACAGTGTGCTATGAGAGAAATTTTGCCCGGACAGCGGTACTATGGCCTACTCTTATATCGAATTCCAACTGCAAAGGGGTCTTTTACGTGCACGCCAATGTATACACGGGGATGTTTAAATAATAATTTATATAAAATTTGATGCCAGAAAAAAAGACCTACAATAGGCAGATGCAGTTCTTACATTATGCATCTTTAGGTTATATGCAGAAAATATTCAGATCGGAAAATATTCCTACTGCGTTTTTTTTACATGTTCAGAAAATTTACGGGAGGAACTCAAGAGACACAAGATCGGCTATTGAATGAAACAACTGGATACATAGTAAAAATGTTCTTGTGTAGCTATGTCGGATATTAAATATACGTCTTCAAAATTGTTTGTTTCGTGTAAAAAACAAAACAAAAACCAAATCAAAACAATTCACGCAAATCGACCAAAACAGAGAGTTTGACTATAATAAAAAGGAACGCGTAGAAGATTTTTTGTTTTGTTTTTGTTCTTACATAATCTATCTATAAATTATATACAGAAAATATTCCCAATGCGTTTTTTTACACGCACAGAAATTTTTTACACGCACAGAAATTTTTTACACGCACAGAAAATTATTCGTCATAAAAATTTATTTTTGTAGCTGTGTATCGGATATTTATTATACGTCATCAAAATTGTATTAAAATTTTGTTTCGTGTAAAAACAAAACAAAAATCAAATCAAAACAATTCGCGCAAATTGATCAAAACAAAGAAAAGGGTGGGTATATGTAGAAGAATTTTTGTTTGTTTTTGTGTGATTTTTGCTTGGAGTTGTTTTTTTGTTTTTTCTATTTTGATAAATCATTCTGCGGAACACATTGTACAATCTCCATTCAGATTAGTTTTTATTTCTTCTCATATGCGGCTTGGAATTCAAAACATTTCTACTTGGGGTCTCTAACTATGGAAGCCTTTTCTAATCTATTGTTGTTGTTTTTTTTAATAATCAATTTGCTGAACACAAAAGGCAACTCGGAACTCCTCCCCAGTGCGAAGACGATTGGCACGGCAATGTAGGATCTCTATTGATACTCGGCTTGGGAGATCCCTAAATATAGAAACCCATTGTTGTTCCAGTACTCCGTTTCAAATACATCTCTCTGGATAAAATGAAATGTTTGGGATCAAAATATACTGAAAATTTTTTTTTGTAATTTTAATTAAAATTATAACAACATAATGAAATGGGTTTTAACGTCCTACTGTTCTGCCCAGACTGGGCCAATGAAGACAGGCATACGCCATACAGTGTGCCATGACGGAAATTACGCCTGGGCAGCGGCACTACGGCCTACTCTTATATCGAATTCCAACTGCCAACGGATCTTTTACGTGCACGCCAATGTGTACATAGACCCCTGTCCTGCTCCACTGACAAGAGGAAACCACTTTGGAAAACCTCGATGAACTTTCTCAGCGACCTCCAGGTTAGCGAGCCAGCGTCTTACCCATTTAGCCACCGTGGCTCCATTATGGAGATTATTTTGTTTTATATGAAAGATACTAGCCCTAGCACTGATTGGGATTTACGTCCGCATTCATATCAGATGATATCGTAGCGTATAGTTTATTCCAGTACATGATAACGGCACTGTTCGGAAGATTAAAGATACATTATGGGAGATTCGTTAACGAGTTGGCAGTTCTCACTATTAAAGTTAAAAACTAGATAACGTAAAGGCAATTTGCTGAAAATTTCATTCAAATTGATCCACTATGAACCAAGAACTAAGCGAATGAAATTTCTGCCTAGCCTCGGTCACCATTACTAAAGTCAGTACGATAAACAGCATAGTCTCGATTATCCAGTTAATCGTAAAATCGAGAAGGAAAGTTCTGCAGTAAATCGGCTCACAATCCACTAAAGATCGCAGGCTAGCGCTGCCATCTAGAGTTAATTATGGTCTGGATAAGTTAATTAATGTCTAATTAATAATTTAGATACCATTTTAGGCCTAAAGAAAGACCTGCAATAGACAGATTTAGCTCTTGCATAATGTATGTTTAATAATAATGATTAATACAATGACGTCATTATTAATGTGACGTCATAATGTATGTTTATTAAGCTCTTCTTTTATATATGAACGATACTACCACTAACATTGATTGGGTTTTACGTCCACCTCCTGATTAGATAATATCGCAATGAAACATACATACAATCAGGTAGACGTTAAATTGTATAGCATTTACACCTGTTGTTATTAAAGGTATATATATGTACAGGTAGAATTTCATCCAA